AATAAGATTATGGGATGAGGCAAAAGGAGCCTGGAAAAATGTTCAGGGAAACGTTTAAAGGGGGTGGGGCTGGGAGGAAAAAAGGGTGAGGGGTATAGTAAAAAGAAGGTAATAGGAAATAGAGGAGAAAAAAGTACATACAAGATCTGTTTTTGGAACGTAGCGGGGGTAAAAAATAAGGAAGAAGATTTTTGGTTATGGTTAAGGAATTGGGACATTGTAGTTCTATTTGAGACATGGGTAAACAACAAAAAATGGTTAGACGTAAGGGAGTCATGGGAAAAAGGCTTTAGGTGGGACATTCAGGAAGCTGTAATACCGAAGGGGAGAGGTAGAGCGAGCGGAGGTGTGTTGTTTGGAGTAAAAGATGGCATAGAAATAGGTCAGAGGGGTAAATGGGATGTTGACGGCTGGGTGGAACTAGAAATTAAGTTTGGGGTTAAATGGTGGTGGGTGGTAGGAATGTATATCAATGGGGACTTAAACCGGAAGAAAGAGCTCTTAAGCAGATGGCTGGATGAGACTTGGGACAAAGACGTGATAATTGGTGGAGATGTTTATGCCAGGACAGGATCTCTAGGAGGATTCAAAGCAGTTGGAGTTGGGATAGAAGGTAACTCAAGGAAGTCAAAGGATAAAGTTATTAATAAGGATGGAAAAGATCTACCCCCACAGAAAAAGTATATATTCTGGAATATATTCTGAAATATATTCCAGAATATATCCGAGAATATATTCCGAATATACCCCGTTTTGCCCGAGGAATATATTCCGGAATATATGGGCATGCACTCACTTGTATTCCGTTTTACTCAAAATTTTTCTCTGGTCTATAGTCTGGTCTGTCGTCAGATCTATAGTCTGATCCATCGTATATATACTGAATATATTCAGGTATATATAATTTTGAAATATATTTCTTGGGCAAAACGGGGTATATCCGGAATATATTTAGAATATATTCTCGAATATATTCTAGGATATATTTCAGAATATATTCCAGAATATATACTAGAATATATACTTTTTTCGTGGAGGTATGTGAATATTTGGAAGAGAGAGGCTGGGGAATCATGAATGGTTGCACTGTTGAGGACGAAGAAGGGGAATGGACTTTCATTGGGGAAAGAGGATGTTCAGTAATTGACGTGGTTCTAGGAAACGAGAGAAGCAGGAACAGGATTCAGGAACTTAAGGTAATTGAAAGAACCGAATCTGACCACCTGCCTGTGGTGGTGCAGGTGAAATCTACGGGAAGAAAAAGTACAAAGAAAGTTAAGGAGTCAGAACAAGGAGGGGGCAGAGGTATATGGACTAAAGAAGGGGTAATAAGCTTCAATGAGGAATTTGAGACAAGTTTACGTTTGGAGGGTAGAGGAGCGAGTGTGGAAGAAGAATGGGTAAGACTTAAGAAGAAAATTCAATCAGCCTTGAAAGAGGTGTTAAAAAAGAATAAGAATAATAGAAGTAAACAGGGCTGGTGGGACGAAGAGTTAGGAAAAGCTCTCAGGGAATTTAGGAATGGTAGATGCTCGAGGGAAGATTACTGCAGGCTAAAGTATGACTATAGAAGGCTATGTGAAAAGAAGAAAGAACAAGATAGGAAGAAATGGGAGTACCAGGTCAAAAACGCAACCACTGAGGTTTAGATCTGGAAGATAGTTAACGAAGGTAGAAAAAAGAGAGAAGGATTGAACATGGGGATCAAGTTAGAATTGTGGGATAGTTATTTCAAAGAGACCTTCGGTGGAGTCGAGGAGAGGTGCAGGTGGGATGGCTCATCATCGGAAATAAGTCAGGAAGAAGAAGAGATGGAGAACATAGATTGGGAAGAAAAGAATCGAATAATTAAAAACCTCAAAGAAAACAAAGCAATGGGAGGGGACGGAATTCCAAACGAAGTATGGAAATATGGAGGAGTGAAACTTAAATCAGATTTATGGAAATTGTGCCAAAGGGTCTGGCGGGGAGAGGGGTGGCCAGAAGACTGGAATGATGGAACTGTGGTACCAGTTAAGAAAAAGGGTGTGGGAAATCAGATAAGTGACTACAGAGGGATAACTATTACACAGACTGGGTATAAGATTTATGTAGGAGTTCTAGAGAGGAGGTTGAGGAATGAAGTAGAAAGAAAAGGGCTACTGCCTAACTCTCAAGCTGGATTCAGAAAAGAAACAGGGACACTGGATAACATATACGCTCTGAATTATTTGATTAACCGTGAAATACATAAAGATAAAGGGAACCTAGTGGTGCTGTTTGTTGATTTTAAAGCTGCTTTTGACTCGGTAGACAGGAGGGAACTGGTGGAAGGAATGAAGAAAAGAGGGGTGAGCCCAGGTATGGTGAGAAGGTGCGGGGATGTCCTGAAAGAAACGAAAGGAAGGGTTAAGGTACACTGTTAAAAATTTTTGTAAAATTACAATCATATTACAAAACAAATAATATGTAAAATCACAAATCAGTGTATAGCAATGCGAAATAAAATACAATTCATGTAATTTTTCAACACCTGTTAGGAAATCTACTAAGATGTATTGTAATTTTACAATCTTCTTGTATAAACCTAACACGCATTGTAATATTACAGAACTGTTCGTCAATTTTCAAGAAAAAGCTTTTTAATTTTGCAAACATTATTTGTAATTTGATTCGGCATAATTGTATGTAAAATCATTAAGAAATATTGTAATTTATATTACAATAATCACAAAAAAATTTAAAAACCTTTTTTTTATTTTTACAATTTTCATTGTAAAATTACACAGTGCAATGTAATGTTACCAGAAAATTTTATTTATATTACACGAATTGTAATTCTACTTCACTGTTTTCTAATTTTGAAAATAATACTTTTCAATTTTACAAAAATGAGACTGATGTATAAAAAAACAACAATGTCCTTCATATTTATAAAAATAAATTAAAAATAATTTATAAAAATAAAGTAAAAACTAATTTTTAGTCTATGGTTGTTTATTTGTAATAATAAATTCGAGGCATAATTTATCTTTTATAAATTTTAATATTATGCTCAAACGATCATTTCGAAATTAATATATTTGAATGAGTATATGTTAGACTTTTCTATCAATAAACAGCATAAAATAACACAATTAATGTAAATTATAAATAATAATCCGTAATGCTCAATCACCACATAGGATTAGCTTATAAGAATACTAAGATGTTGAATAACCTATCGGTCGTACGGCGTAGGGCGTTAGGTATCGGTCTGGCAAGCGCGCGGCTCGGGTTCGGTTCTTAGTTAGGATATATATTATTTTCACTTTAAATCATCTGAGTTGAACAAATTAGGTCTACGTGAGATACCAAATCTAGTCAGCGCTTCATAACAATAAAATGACAACAGATATTAAATCAAATCTTTCTTTTTTATTATTTCCATTCAAGTAAAATTCAAGGAAAGTATTGTAATTTTACAAACTTAGCTAATCTAAAAATATTTGTAAAATTACAAAACCGTTTTGTAAAATTAGTAACCTCACTGAGCTATATATGTTTTGTAATTTTACTATACCCGATTGTAATTTTAAATAAATGTTTTGCCTATTAGCTTCCACTACATTTCTTGTAAAATTACAATAGAAATTTTTAACAGTGTAGGGAAGTACCTGGGGGAGAACTTTTGGACAACAAAGGAGTAAGACAGGGGTGCCCACTAAGTCCACTATTGTTCGTACTCTTTCTTGCTGATCTAGACGAGGAGTTAAGAAAAGGAAGATGGGGTGGTGTGGAGTTGAAAGGAGGGGAAAAAATTTACTCTCTTGCATATGCGGACGACATTGCGCTTCTGGCTAAGGACGAAGATGAGATGAAAGGATTAATGAGGACTCTAGAAAGATATGTGGAAAAGAAAAAACTGGAAGTAAACGTGAGCAAAACAAAGGTGATGAGATGTAGAAAAGGGGATGGTAGGAAAAGAAAGGTGTTTTGGAACTGGAGAGGGAAAGAAGTCGAAGAAGTTGATAGATATTTGTACCTAGGATACGTGGTGAGAGCAAACGAGCAACAAGATGCGCACATAAGAGAGAGAGTAGCAAAAGGAGCTAAAATAATGGGACAGGTATGGGGAATAGGTAAAGGGAAGTTCGGAAAGGATTGGGCAAGAAGAGTTTGGCTGTTCGACAAGCTAGTCTGGCCTGTAATGAGTTACGGGGTGGAGATATGGGGATGGAAGGCAAGAGAAGAACTAGAAAAGATTCACGACAAATACCTTAGGTGGGTTCTGGGTGTCTCAAGGAACGTGGCTGGATATTTGATAAGAGAAGAGCTGAAAAGGGATAGGTTGGAAGGAAAAGCAGGTATTAGAGCATGGAAATATGAAAAAAGAATCGAGGAGGGTGGAGGAGGGGAAATTGTAAGGAGGTGTAGACAAGAAATGAAGAAGAGAGTCCTTGCTGGAAGAGAATTCTTCGGGTGGGAAGAAGAAAGAAAAGAATACTTTGAGAAAAGGGGTTGGTGTCTTACGGAGGTAGAAAGAAAATGGGAAAATGGTTCGATGAGAGGGAAAGATCTAATGTATATTGAAAGACGGAAGCAAGAAAAAGAGAGATGGGAGAGAATTGTAGTGTCGGAAAGCAACAGGGAGTATAGATTTATAAACGTTAAAGGAATTCCAGGTTACTTAAAGAAGGGGTGGAATGAGGACAGGTGGGGAAGAGTAGCAAAGGCTAGACTAGGGGATTTTCTAAAGGGGGCAAAGTACTGGGAGGTAGCTGACAACAGGTTATGTAAGGTCTGCGGACAGGATGAGGAGACATGGGAGCATGTCTGGGAGATATGTTCAAGACTGGGAATAGAAAAGGGGTGGCAGGAGATGAGATCTAAGGTTTTGGGAGGGGAAGGTGAAGGGGAGAGGTGGATAGCTAAGTTAGAAAAGCAAAGGGGTAGTGCAAAGGCAGAGTAACTTTCTGATCAGTAGTTTGTAATGAGAATTCAAAAGATCTGTTTTTTAAATTAGAAAAAAAGCACGGAAACAGAAGTCAAAAGGATGTGTGAGAAGAGATGTAGAATGTGTGAATATAGCGGTTTTTTCTTGGCTAAGGCTTTCTTTTTCCGCTGGATAATGTGAAGGACTGAAAATTATGGATTTGTATTAAAGTTGCTTAGTATTGTATATTGTTAATGCATTGTATTGATTAATATAAGTCACAGATTGTATTTGATGGCTGTAAATATTATTTTATAAGTTTTTTATATTTTAGAATAAGAATTTTTTCATCTTTTGTAAGACTATTTTATGTACCAAGGAAAGGAAGTCTATTGTACCCCGTATTTCGGGCACTAAAGATTTATATATATATATATAATGTATATAATGTATAGTTCGAGGACATAATTTCAATCTATTGCATACTTTGGGGACATTTGCATAGTCTGGGATCTGTCCCCGAACTATTTTTCGTTCTAATGTATAATTTGGGGACATTGTCCTTGAATCATGCATAAATCTTAACCGATACTTCAGGGACAGTTTATGCATCGGAAAATAAAAAACATTTTTATGAACTGTTATTATACCATTTCGATATTTTTTTCAGATATGTATACTTTGGAGACATGTCCTTGAACCATACATTCGCTGTAACAGATATTTCGAGGACATATCTCCAAAATATGCCTTTTATGGATCCGATGCTTTGAGGACATGTCCTCAAAGCATGCTTCTTATGAATCCGATACTTTGAGGACATATCCTCAAAACATGCTTCTTATTAATTATATGCTTTAGGGAAAAAAAAAGTTAATCTCTAATGTATATACATCAAATTTGTAAGAATATTACAAATTGATAGAAAATAGCAAATTTTTTATTTTATGCTACTCACTACGACCACCCCGTCCAGGGCTACTACCACTCCGCCGGGGAGGGGGGAAGTGAGTTTGACCAAAATCACCGCTGTCCATCTTACAGCAACAAAGAAAGTTAATTTCTAATGTATATACATCAAATTTGTGAGAATATTACAAATTGATAGAAAATAGCAAATTTTTTATTTTATGCTACTCACCACGACCACCCCGTCCAGGGCTACTACCACTTTGCCGGGGAGGGGGGAAGTGAGTTCGACCGAAATCACCGCTGTCCATCCAACACGTGAGTGCAAAAGCATCAGCAGTGGTAGCCAGCTTAGCACGACTGATGCCAAACGTCGGAGGCCCAAAGCAGAGCAGGAGACTACTGCTATCATCTGTAGTCACATCAGTGCTCACTTACGGAATATCTATATGGGCAGACGCACTAGAAAAGCGAGAATCATGGAGAAGGGCTGGACCAGTCTACCGTCTGAGTGCCTTAAGAGTAGCAAGCGCCTTCCGCACAATATCTATGGAAGCAGTGTGTGTCATTCCCGGAACTTTGCCTCTCGGAATCTTAGCTAAGGAAAGACGGATCCTTTACCAACGAAAAAAGTCGACCACACTAACCGCTGAGGAGCTTGGAACAGAAGAGCGGCAAAAGAGCATAAGTCGATGGCAACTACAGTAGGATGCCACAGTGAAGGGTAGGTGGAAGCATCGTCTCATACCAAGGATCAACGCTTGGCTAAACCGGAGTCACGGTGAGGTCAACTATTATCTTACACAGTTATCAGGACACGGCTGTTTCCGGGCATATCTCCACCGCTCCAAACATGATAATTCCCCAGAGTGCCCATCCTGCCCAAGAGTCAATGAAGATGCAGA